GTATCTTTGCCAAGAAAACCCCAAAAAGGGATTGGACATGACTGAGAAACAACTAAACAATAACAAAATATTACATCTAGTTAGAAATATCCAATAGGCAATTGGTAAAAGGGACTGAGAACTTAGGAGACATTTTTCTAAGGAAACAATCTGTTACTCATAACGGATTCATTCCTAAATCAGCTATTTGTGTATAATCAGATCATCAGAGCAAAGAACAAAACTAATACAAGCTAGAAAAAGTAAATAAGTGAAAAAGATATGGCATACAATTATAAAAGAACTCCAGTTTGACCTGTTTAAGTAAGTTATTGAACCTGAAAGTTGGGAAATGGACAGAAGAAAGGACTTCTACACTAATTCTGGACTCATATGTAAATTCAACTGCCATAACAAGACATCTAGAAGAGCCTTTAACATTCTTTAGTCAGAAAACACCTGTCTTACTTGCCAAGTGAAAAAATTTGGCATCCAGGGCAATAATGGTTTAATAATATTTGTAAAATTTTACAGAGAAGGATGGTAGAAGATCATCATCAGCATTGCCTCAAGACAAAAAGAAGCAGTAGAGGGAAAACCAGGATTAAAGATATCTAGAAAATAATACACTATGACTTAGTTGGATCCATATCATTACTAAGATGGTTCAACATAAGGAAAACAATAAATATAGCCATAAAAACAACAAAAAAATTCAATATAAAAAAACCCCAACAAAATACAGCACTTACTTATGTTAAAGATTCTAAAAAGGACAGAGCATAGAAGGGCCCTTCTTTAATATGATCAAAAGCATATATATAAAATAAGAGTTAGCACCAATTCTGATGGAGAAACACTAGAAGTGTTCGCTGTACAAACAAGGATAAAGCAAAGATTTCTCCTCACTTGAACTTGACATAGAACTTGACATAGTTCTAGAAATGCTAGCTATAACAATAACACAAGAAAACAGTATCAATGGTATTACCACTAGCAAAAAGGAGACAGAAAAATCTCTATATTTGGATGGCATGATGGTGTAATAGGAAAACCTCAGGCAATCAGCAAAAAAAGTTGGGATAATAGTAGATACAACCATGTAGTAATTCATAAAAAATTATTATCATTTTTCTATGTATTTCTAACAAAGCTCAGGAAGAGATAACATAAAAAATTATTATCATTTTTCTATGTATTTCTAACAAAGCTCAGGAAGAGATAACAAATTCCTTTAAATAAAGCCACAAAACGTGTAAAATATCTGGGAATTAACTTACCAACAAACACAAGATTTCTACAGATACAACAATTATATGATTACAGATATTACTGTTCATAGTTAAGTCACGCTAATATTAAAAATGATAATGCTACCTATGCTAGTGGTATATTAAATTACTAAAGGGATAATTTTTATTTTTTTTTTAAGGAATAGACAAAAAAGAAATAAAATTCATTTAGAAGATCACAAAGTACATCAAGGAAATAAGAAAAAGTACAAATAAAGAAGGTATAGCATTACTTGATCTTAAACTACATTAGAAAGCAGTAGTCATGAAAACTATTTAGCACTACTAGAAACAGTAAAGCGTATCAATAGGAAAGACCAAATAAATGGGAAACGGACACAACTGAAAAAATAGCCGAGTGCTTAACGAACTTGAGAACACAAATTATAGGGAGAAAGATTCCCTTTTTGCAAGAAATCATGGGAAAACTGGAAAGCAGTTCAGCAGAAACTAGGTTTCATATCAATAACATACACCATATACTACAATATGCTCCAAATGATACAGCAAACTTTATATTTAAAAAAAGAAAAAGAGCAAGGAAAAGAGAATAAGATAAGGAATATTTCACAGCTATATCTATGAAAAAATTCTTAACCAAATACGAGATATAAGAAATCATTAAAAAAAATGATTCTGACTATGTGTTTAAAAGTTTTTATACAAATTAATGAATCAGAAATAAAATATAAAATCAACAGAATTAGAAGAGAAACTATAAGTGGGAAAATATTTAGATATAATATCTATTTTAAAAAATGACATGCAAAATATACAGAGAATTGACCAAAATGCATAATATCAAGAGCTACTCCCACATAACAAACAAACAAATGGTCAAAGGACGTGAACAAAATGTTTTCAAAAAGAACTGCATAAGGGGCAGCTGGCTGCTCCAGCCCTGGGAGTCAGGAGGACCTGAGTTCAAATCTGGCCTCAGACACTCAACACTTACTGGCTGTGTAACCCTGGGCAAGTCACTTAACCCCGATTGTCTCACCAAAAAAAAAAAAAAAAAAAAAAAAAAAGAATTGCATAGTACAAATAACCACGTGAAAACATATATATTCATTAAGAATAAGAAAAAATAGAAATTAAAATAAATTTGTGTTTTCTCCTCACACCCAGCAAATTGGGAAAGATGACAAAATATATAAATATTGAATACTGAAAGACAAGCATGCTGAAAAACATATTGCTGAATGCTGAAAAACAGATTGCTGGTAGAACTGTGAATTAGTCCACCCAAAACTGGAATGCAACTTGGTAGTATGTTACAAAAGGAAGGGAGAGACATAAGTAAAGTCATTCAAGCATATTTAAAGATGAAATGTGAAAGGAGACAAAATATACTGCCCCCTTCAAAAACAAAACAAAACCAGATGGTCAACTTCTCCAAAGATATAACCAACTCTTCATACCACCAAAGACAGGGGAACCAGAACTTCTGGTCTCGAACATCATAATACTGGACGTAATTCTAGAGAAAGTGGAAATGTTACTGAGTAAAATAAAGATGAGAAGTAACTGGACTAAACCAAATATATAAAGAGGAGGTTTGTGCTCAACCAGTAAGTAATTATTAAGCACCTACTTGGTGTTGAGGCACCATGCTAGATGCTGAGGATAAAAAGACAACATGAATTATTTCTTGGCCTTAAGGTGTGTATATTCTTCTGGATGAAAAAAGCACATACACAAGTAAGTAAATGCAAATTTTGCACAAAATAAAATAAAAATTGGGGAGGGATGGGAAGATTAGCCATAGGGATAAGAGATCATGTAGGCTGGCACTTAAGATAAGCTTTGAAGGAAGCTAGGGGGCAAACCAACTTAGACAGTATTGAGGTTAATGGCATTTCCTGAATCTGTCCCTTTTTTCAGGTCCTCATCACTAGTCAACCTTGCTATTTTAATAGCATCCTAATTGGTTTTCCTACTTCCTGTCTCAGTCTTATCCAATTTATATTCCACAAAGGTGTACAAATAATCTTCCTAAAATGGAGATCTGACCATGCTATTGCTTTGGGCAAATAACTTGGTGCTGTGGGTAGGCTAAAATACAAACTCCTCAGACTAATATTTAATGTCTCTCACAATCTATACAATTCTTTTGCGAAGAAGTATAGTGGGTAAAATATAACAGGATGCTGGACTTGAGTCAGTAAGATCTGAATTGAAATTCTGCCTCAGACTTTTACCAGCTGTTTCACTAGGAAATTCATTTAACTTCTCTGTGACTTAATTTTCTCATGGATAAAATGAAGGGAATGGATGAAATTTATAAGGTTCCTTCCAGTTCTGAATCTATAATCCAATTCAATAATCATTTATTAAGCACCTATACAAAGTAATAAATATGATACACAGATAAACAAATATAAAATATGCACAAAACAGATATAAAGCAATCCCAGTGGGAGAGAAGAAAGCACTAATAACTGAAGGAGGATAAAAAGGTCTTGAATAGAAGGTGGCACCTGAGTTGAGCCTTGACATGACATAGATTCCAAGAGCCAAAGGGCAGAAGGAAGAGTTTTCCAGCTATGGGGGCCAGTTTGTACAAAGGCACATAGGTGGGAGACAGAATGTTGTGTACTGGGAAAACCAAGCACGCTAGCCTGCCTGGCACCTAGAGTGAATGAGAGGGAAAATGTGAAATGAGTAAGGGAAAACAGGCGTTAGCAAGGTTGTGAAGGGTTTTTAATTCCAAATAGGGGTTTGCATAGAAGCAAGAAGTCACCATGCTACTTGAGCCAGGGAGTGATAGCACCAGTCTTGTGCTTTAAGAATATCACTTTGGCAGTTCTATGGAAGATGGCTCAGTTTGTCTGGTTCTAGACTGAGGTAGCTAGGTGGGGCAGTGGATAGAGTTCTGGGCCTGGAGTCAAGACGACTCATCCACTTGAGTTCAAATCTGGCTTCACACACTTATGAGCTGTTTGACTCTGGGCAAGTCACTTAACCCTGTCTGCTTTAGTTTCTCTGTCTGTAAAATGAGCTGGAGAAGGAAATGGCAAACCACTTCAGTATCTTTGCCAAGAAAACCCCAAATGGGGTCCCGAACAGTTAGACACAACTGAAAACTACTGAACAACAAGGCTCTCTCTTCTTTACCAGTTAGGCTATGATATTAGTCCTGAGGCAAGGTTATAAAGGCTTGAACTAGAGGGTACCATGTGAAGTGGAGAAAAGGGAACTGATGTTGGAGACAAGGGTGAGGAGAGACAGTATTGCACAGGGGGATCAGCTTGTGCAAAGGTGAGAAGGAAGATGACATCAAGATGACATCATGTACTGAAAACAGCAATTAGGACAGTTTGCCTAGAATGTTACGTGTGTGAGAGTAAGTAATATATAATAAATCTAGAAAGGTAGGCTGGTGCTAGATCATAAAGGGTTTTAAATAAGAAAATAGATGAGCTTAAATAAGAAATAGATGAGCTCATATTTCATACTGCAGTGGGGAACCATCAAAATGTCTTGAAAAGGGGAGAGTGATATGGTCAGATCTGTGATTTAGAAATGTGAAGAATGGATCAGAAAAGATAGAGACTAAAAGTAGGGAGAGAAGACTATTATAATAGATCATGAGGTGATGAGAGTTTGGATTGGCATGGTTATGTATATAATTTTATGTATTTATAGATTTTAGCAGAAAATCTTGCCACAATAAAAACTATCTGACTAAACGGAGGGTTCACAAAAACATAACTGTAGGAAACTTACCCCCTGGTCTCCTCCTCATGACCCTTCCCCTTCTGGATCTTAATCCACTGCTCCAGTTGCAACATTGAATTGGTTCTTTGTATAACTCGATCAGATTCGATATGAACTGGCACAGTATTATGATGACTTCCACTTCTAAGGTCTGCAAGGCTAACATTGATTGCTTTAGCTTCTGAACCATCGGTTTGAGCTGGCCGGTAGCGTCCAGGCTGATTTGTGTTGGTTGTTAAACTCTCATACTCTGAAGGCAGAGAATTCAATTTTACACTGTTAATTTTTGTTAAAGGTCTATCTTGACCATCCTTCTGAAATCCATATTTTTCAGCTTCTAAGGCCCTTTTTTCTTCACTTCTTCTTACTTCTTTCTTTTTCTGGCTGCTCTGTGTCTCTGGCTTAATTAGCACCCTATGGTTGGAAATATTATTGACCTCTCTAGTTGGTGCCTTTTCAGACGTTATCTTATCCACCCTAAAACCAAAAAAAAAAAAAAAAAAAAAATATAGGTGATTTAGTCAAAACAGATACAATAAATAACCAGTTGAAGTGAGGTTCAAATGAAATAATTTATGTGATGCACTTAACAAAACCTTATATGCTATATAAACATAAATTATCATCATTATTTTTTCCTGAGATATACTCTAGGAAAAAAAAAACAACTAAAATCACTTTTACTAATATACCAGACTGATAGATATATGGTTAGAAATGGTGGTATATCCATGGGAGAGAGGAGGAGAGGAGAATCACGGCAGATAACAAATTTGCATAAATGTAGTGATATTAAAATATAAGCATATATTGGGATATTGGTGAAAAACACAGGAATTTTTATTATAATAAGGACTGGTAAGACCTTTAGAATGTTATACCCAATTTCAGACATATGTAGAGAAACTGGATGAGAAATGTATGGAAGTAAAAAAATGGTTAAAAAAAAAAGTTGGACTGAGACTAATCAGAAAAAATGAAACAAAATTATGGGATTGTTTACAGAATTTTTAATTTCCAAAGAAGATAAAACAAAGGGAAATGACATTAACATTATGTCTATTTGGCAGTTTCTGGAAAAGTAACATTCTAGAAAATGGTTCAGTTTACTAATAGAGATTTAGCAAGCCTCCCCCGTCCAACTGACAACCACAGAATAATCATCCATTTGTCATTTAACATTGTTTCATGGTTTTTTTTTCCCCTTCAATTCATATTCTTGGAAATTACTTAGAATTATTCATTAATTATTTAAAATTAATTACTACTCAAAAGCCTTTGGTTTTTAGACTGAAAACTTTAATCATGGCGATAACTATTTTATGCCAAAATTTTCTTCTTTTAGCAGATGCTAAGCATAGCAGATTACTACTTAAGCCTTGGTTTTCTTCTATTAGGTACTAAGTATATTTTTTTAAAGTTTTCAATTTATTCCATATGGCTTTTCAAATTCCATTATGCTTAGTGGGAAAAGAGTTTAGGCTTCTTTAATGTCAGGGTATTTATATGGTGCTGTGGCAGAAAATGCTATTTTTATAAACAAATTAGAAGTGTGACATTACAAAAATTCAGGGTAGCATTTATACCGGCAAGCAAGCTAACTTTCTTCTTAAATATTATTTTCTTAAGTGGTTATGCTTCTTTAAAATTGTGAGTTAAAAGTAAAATGTCTTGTATCTATCTTCCAGTCTACTTTAATATTTAATTGAATATCTGCCCTATTTCCATGTACAATGTAATATTATGAATCTTTATAACATAAGTAATACTAATCACAAAAGTCACATATACCAACTTACTTTTAAAACCAAGTGAAACAAAGACACAGAAACAAACAAAAAATAGTATTAAAATGTAAGCTCTAATTTAAAATTGAACCTAGTTATTATTACAGTAACCAAAGTAAGTATGGGTCGTATAACGCTGGGTAAGGATGAAACCCAGATAGAATTTGAAATTATTTACACAGGAAAACTTGACTACTGTTGGGCTAAGGATGTTTTTTTGGGGAGGGTGTGGGGTGCGAGGCAATTGAGGTTAAGTGACTTGCCCAGGGTCACACAGCTAGTAAGTGTCAAGTGTCTGATTGGAGACCACATTTGAACTCAGGTCCTCCTGACTCCAGGGCTGGTGCTCTATCCACTATGCCACTTAGCTGCCCCCTCAAAGAATTATTTCAAATAAAAAATTGTTGTGCACTACCTGGTAACCTTGCTTCCATCCACTTTTCTCTCTAAACTAACCCACATAATGTGACTAGATTTATTCCCCTAATCCTCAGGCCGAACCATATTAACCCCCCTGCTAAAAAAAAAAACCTTTAGAAGCTTCTCACTGCCTGCAAACTTTTCAACCTGGCAAACAAGGCTGTCCAAGATGCCTTTTGATCTCGATTTAATTCTGTTCCTTTTCTTGCCCTATAGGTGCTAACCAAACTAAATTCTTAGCTATTTCTTAATTTTATACTCTTGCCCATCCCTATCTTCAGAAGATGAGCATCATGCCTCCATATATTCCTCCATGTCATCCGTGTCGAAATCCTCTTCCTTCATAGTCCAGATTAATTATGTACCATTTCTTTCACTAACATTCCCTCATCTTCCCAGCTTAAAATACCATAATTCCTTCCTCACACATTTCTTAATCTGTGTGGAACACCTCTTTGCTCTTATCACAATCTATATTATATTATGCTTTTTATGTGGATGTCTTAATTACCACCTCTAACACTGTAATATAGACTTAAAGATTGGAAGGTTGTTTTTCACCTTTGTATCACAGTATCTAGCCTAGTGCCGTGTACAAGTAGTAGGAAATGAATAAATGCTAGCTAAATTACTTTATACTTAACACATTTGTTACATAAAGCAATATTCAATAAATGTTTATTTGTTGATGAATCAATAAATATTTACACATATTATGGGTTTCTGTCAAATTATTTCTTGGCTGATACAATAATATTTTTATATAGAATTTTATCTAACTCATGGAGTTTAAGAAACAGATTTTTCCTTCTATTAGTTCTCAATTGTATACTAAAGTTAATTATAATTTCAAGTTTTAAAACAAATCAGACAGGAAGTATTTTCTTAATAGTTTGGTATTCTATGTGTATATTTATATGGTGGCTTAAAATTCTTATATACTAAAAAGAAAAATAAAAATGTGGAAAAATAATTAAAAATTCATGAAATTATTTAATAAAAAATCTCTATTGACAAATATTACTAGAATTTATCACAATAATACTTGTTATTAAAACCATCAGCAAAAATTAAGCAAGGTAACTTACCTTACTTACATATAATTAAACTAAATTCAGTAAAATCAATTCCCTTTTTGGGATTAAGGAGTTAAAAGAAATTATCTTGAAAACATCTGAGTAGAATTTCAATCATAACAACTAAAAATTTACTTACCTGAAATTAAAGGTAATTCTGTAAGAAGAAAAAACATTGAAGTTCGAACATTAGGAGTCTGGACTCATCTCTGGTATACTGACAGGTGAAAATGAGTGAATAGGAAAGATGGGAGAAGAGATCAGGAGAAGTTCTCAAGGATTTTAAACTGGCACTAAGATTTCAAAAAATCTACTAATCCTCATCCACTACAGACAGAGATTTTCTATGATAATGATAAAGCTATTAAGCACTTGCACACAGATACACATGCACACAGAAGCAAAAACAATTATAGGCATGCCTATTCAAATGAATGGAGGAAGACGCATGATTGGGAATCTCCACGATTTCTCCTGTGTGCTTTTACCTTTTGACAGGTTCTGTCTGTACAAGTGCAGCATCTAGCATGGCTTTCATCCACAGCTCCATTTCCTTCCCTGTATCAGTGCAGAAATAATATGTCCGCATGTTTGGATGGGCGGCCTAATTGGAGATGACACGGTCATTTCAAGTTAAAACATGAGGACCTGGTAAAAGAAAAATGGGGGGGAAAGTTAGAAGTTGCTCTTCATCTAGTTCCCTTTTATTACCATTATTTTTTTTTAATTTAAAATGTCTTTTACAACAGAAAGCTTTTTATTTCAGGGAGGAATTAATTTCAGTTACTTTTAAGATAATATACCTACTTCCATTATGTCCCACCTTGCTTTTCTCTGATATTTTCAATATAAAATTAAACTGGTAGGTTAAAAGGGAGCAGAAATTAAGTACACAGACTGAGTCCAGTCTTAGCAATTTTTATTGCTAGCTGAGGACCTCATCTCTATTTACCAAAGAACAATGACTCACCCTAGGTTATCCAGCAATCGGGGCAAAGTAAATTGACATCCACGTTTCCTAACATTCTTCCCTTCCTGAAGCAATTTCCCCTCAGTTAAGAGCAGTTCTGCTTAAGTCAGAGGGTTTTATTTTAAGGGGTCTGTGAACTTGACTGCAAAAAAAATGCATCTTTATTTTCACTAACTTCTAATTGAAGTTTACTATTTCCTTCAATTAGGAATGTAGGTAATAAGTGTAGGGGTCCATACATTTAGGATTTGCTTCCCTTTCAGGCTTAGGATTTAGTGAAGGGAAGATTTATCAGTTAATTGGATACTTTTATAACTTTATAAAGTCAAACTAAAAAAAAAACACAACACCAAATTAGTCTGGGGATCTAACTTATTTTATTTATTTTCTACAGTGATCAGATTAACTGGTAAAGCTCTTCATTTTGGGTTCAACAAAATAGCTGTGAATGAAACTAGCAACTATATAATCTATCTTAACATGTACAAAATTTGAATGAAATTTTTGAGAAATAAAGTAAATCAACATAGGTCCATGATACCAAGATTGAATTCTGACTTACCATTTTGAAATGCAGCAGCATGTAGCTCAAAGGCTTCTCAGATAGCTAAGAGCAGCTCATAATTCCAAATAAGCAAATAATACATTGGAGAGAATTTGAAGCATAAATTATTGTTCTTATCATGAAGACACAAAATATACAAAAAACTTTAAGAAATAAATATTAAAACCATTAATATGAAAAATAATCTTTTTATTATTATTTCTAAATTTTAATCTAGTGCCAAGTAAATGATTGATTAATGAGTTGAATTTAGAATGAACAAAAAGTTAATCTCTTAAATGAACATATTTCCACATTAAGATGTTAACATTTTCAAAATCTTAATTTAAGTCATTATTTTGAAAACTGAATTTTCCTATAATAATGTATTTAAATACTATAAAATATCCAGTAGTCAATATACATCTTTGCAATAACAAAGTTTTCTAAAACAAACAAAAAACCATATATCCCAAAAGCTTATTCTTCTAATATAAATGCAAATAGACAGACTAAAAAATGTGCAATACATTCCTTACCTTAAAAGCATGTTTGCGATTAATGTGGTCTTCAGAGGTAAGCATTGCTATTTGAAAACTAGGTAAGAGAATGCTTCCCAGTATACCTTCTTCTTTTTCATCTAAAATATATTTAATCAAAATTAAAAATGTTTCCCTATAGCAAGGATCTTCTCAAAATGGTTTAACATATGAAAAAAAAAAGATATTTGTATATGAACACTATGTTAATTGTATTTGTAGAGATGTCTTCCTTTTTTCTAATAGTTTAAAAGCTTAATGCAAGTTCTAAGACATGGCGGGGCTATATGGTTTACTGCAAACAGTTCTGGAGCACCCAAGTTTGAGTCCTAATTTTGCTTTGTGACATTGAGCAAGTCACTTATTCTCTAGGCCTCAGAATAAACTTATTATCTGTAAAACAAAGAGGCTAAATTAGGCAACTGAATCTCCAATACCCTTTCCATCTCTAAATCTAACAAACTATTATTCATTTAGGCAGGGAACCTGTCTCATTAATTTTTGCAACAGCCTCCAAATTGGTCTTTCGGCCCTCAAAGCTCTCTCCATTTTAATTTAAAGTGTTTGTTTTTTTTTTTCCTAGGAGGATCCTCATTGTGGATCCATGGTGTTTGAATTTTCTTTCTGACTGCTCATAGCACCTTTTCTTTGACCTGAAAAAATATGAATTTGGGCTATAAGGACATTCCTGAGAATCTTCACATTGGAGTTTCTTTCAGGAAATGACTGGTGGATTCTATTTTCACATTTTCCTATGGTTCTAAGGAATGGGGGCCATTTCTATTTGTGATTTCTTGCAAGACAGTATCTAGCATTTGTGCAGAGGAGCAGTAGTATTCAGGTAGTTTAATAATTCTTAGATTATCTCTCCTTCACCAGGTCAGTGTTTTGACAGGTGACAGTTTATATTTTCTTCTGGTTTTCAGTCTTTCAATTTTGTTCTAGTATTTCTTATTGTCTTGTGTAATTGCTGATTTCGGTTTGGTCCGATCTAATTTTGAGAGTCTATTACTTGAATAAAGTTTTGTATGTCCTGAACTAAGCTTCCCAAATGTTTTCTCTAGGGATTAAAAATGGATTCTTAAATTTTTTTGTGTGAAATGAACCCCTCTGGCAGTGAATGTTTTTAAATTCACACAAATAAAATATGTAAGATTACAAAAGAAATTGGCCATCAAAATATTTTTTAAAAAGTTAAAGGACCCCAGATTAAGAAGTCTTGCTTTAGAGTTCTAATTTTGTTCATATAATCACTTTTAAACTATTGCTTTATTTCTTCCAGAAATCCCATTAAAGTTAGTGGCACATCTCAAATTTCTTTGGGGCTTTGCTTACAGATATGATGTGCAATTACTGTCTTCTGGGTTTTGGTTTGGGGCATCTGTGGCTCCTTACACTAATATTTATAATATTTATTTATCATGAGTGTTTTCCCAGCATTACTTCTTGATTTGGGACTTTGTCAGTCAGCCAATGAACACCGCCCACATTCTATGTACTATGTGAAATGCTGGAATTACAAAGAAAGGTAAAAGACAGTGCTTGCTCTCAAGCAGCTCACAGAGTGATGGGTTAGACAAGATGAAAACTGTACAAACAAGCTACAGACAGGATAAGATAAATTGAAGATAATAAACATAGGGAAGACTATAATTGAGAGGGATAAGGAAAGGCTTCTTATCTAAGCTATGAGGATTTCCAGAAGGAATTACAGGGTTTTATTTGGTCCTGAATTGTATTATCTGGGATCCTTCCACAATGTCTGGCACACAGTAGGTGCTTAATAAATGTTTATTGATTGTTTCCTCCTGATACTGAGTGGGATATTTTTCAAGGACCCCAAGGGTGGCTTAGACTAGTAAGCTGAACATGCAATGTTTTGAATCAGAGCATGGCTTAATCATTGCCCCTCTATTCTGAGTCACTCAGGCTGCAGCCCCTCATCCTGGGTCAGAGTGACAAGGTGCAAACTTCAGGAGTTCACATTCTCATTCTCCCATCCCAGGGATCCAGTAGCAGAATTCAGATTTCCCTAGTTTGCTCTTGGCCCACATGCTGGAAGGCTTCCATGCGCCATGCTCGCAGGCTAGGTTTTTCTGGTTAGACTTCTTCCTTACTTTCTACTGGCTTCTGGCTATCCCTGCACAGATATGGGCAGGAAAAATGCACTTACTGTAGCTTCTCCTTAAAGTTCCTAATCATTACTTAGTCTGGTATTCTTTTTAAAATCACTACTAGAGTAGTGAGAGAGTTGGGATGTTATGTTCTCTCACTCTACCATCCTAAGTATGTCCCCAAAGTGATTTTCCTAAAGCTCAAGTAAGACTAGGTATCTCCCCTACTCAATAAACTCCAGTGAGAGAATCAAATATAAACTCCAAATATGTTTGATATTTAAAGCCTTTCACAACCTTGATCCAATCTATCTTTCTAGAACGAATGCACACTCCTCTCCTCTGCCCATACTATATCCCAGCAAAATTGGCCTTACTGTTCTTCACAAAGGACATTCTACTTCCTATCTCTAGATAACCTCAGAGTCACAAAGTCATTCGGTGTCCCATCTTTCTCAGCTGTTCGCCATGCCAGGAATGTTCTTCCTTCTCATCTCTTTCTCTCAGGATCCCTAGTTTCCTTCAAGGCAAGCTTAAATGCCATCTTCCACATGAAGCTTTTCCTATCCACCATCTTGTATGTAGTCCACATACGCCTAGATATATACATGTTGCCTCCTCTGGTTAGACAGGGACTATTTTATTTTACTCTTTGAATTCCCAGTGCTGATAGTACTGTGCTTAGCACAAAATAAGATCTGAATAAAAGGCTGATGATTGATTGCACTTACCATAGTACCCAAACACATTGCCTTGAACACACCGAGCATATTAAGCGCTCAATAAATGTTCAATATAAATGAAAATACGGGCACAGTTCTACATAACCCTGTCTCAAAACAACATAACATTGTTCTGTAATTACACCATTAATACATTATAATGAGAGTCAGCCTTGGAGTCAGAAAGTTGTTTAACCTCTCACTGCTTCAGGCAGCTCTTTAAGACAGTTAAGTTGCAGAAAAGGTACCAAATTGCACTGAAAGTTTCCTCAGCTGGAACCAAAAAAAAAAATTGAATGTCTGCTTAAAAAAAAAATCAAAGCATTATACTAATGGCAGTCTGTCATAAGCAAATTCTAAACTAATGTCACATAAAACTTCTAACACCATCTGGATGGTAGCTGGCTTTCCTCCTCCCTCTCTGTCCTCTGAATAATGGAGAACTTCAAACTTCCACTGAGTAGGGAGGGGTGACACTGCTGATGATTGAAAGAAATCACCAGGACATGAAGAAGGAACTCTTTGGTAGCCAGAAACTGCAAAGCTATGACCTGAGAAAGTAAATGAGAGATAGAGCTTCAAATTCACGGGTATAACAGCCAATGGAGAAGACGTGGACAAAGTCCAAAGGAGCAGGCTGAAGTCAGGCAACTCAGCACAGAGTCAGGGATAATATTCTACAAAAGTGTATGACATAATGCAGCAAAATGATGCCTTATTTCATGATTTACTTCTCCCAGATGCTGTTCTCTTAAGGGGAACCTCACACCCTCTCCTTGCTCAGGTTCCACTGTTTTGACAATGACATCACGCACCCCCAAAGCCAAGTCCAACATTCCTCTGCTCCCAAAGGAACCCCCACACCCAAAGCCAGATCAACAACCCAAAACAGAAAAGCAGTTGTCAGATAGGCCTGGAGGAAGTATCCTCAATACTCTTTCCTGATCCTACAGAAATGTTTAGCTTAACACCTGAAACCAACTAATGATTTAAATGGCAGGTGTTCGTGTTACTGATGTAAGTCTTAGAAGAACAAACACAAAATTGCAAGTGTAACCATATGAAGTAGGGATAGAATAGGACTCATAATTCAGATGTTTTAACGTCTTTCTGTGTAACAGAAACAGAAAAACAAGATATTAGATTGCTGAATTCATCACGACATATAGAATATATATTTATGAATATACTTTTAACAATTCCTATTATTCTTTCCTACATCATCATGAATTCCTATTTTAAGTCTCACTATGAATCAATACTGTTTTAAGAAACAAGGAGCCAGATTCTAAGGCAAAAATAGAAAATAATCACAAACATGGAAAAAACCCGATTAATTTTGGTATTATATGGATCTACACGTAACTGCTGTTAAGAAGTAGAAGATGTTGGTTAAATTTAAGTTTTTCAGTATAGCCATATCTGGAAATGCAAGTTAGCAAATATGAATATTATGTTAAGGAATGTGACACAGAAAATCACCAAGAGCTTGTTTAAATTTTATTTACTTTCTATAGTCCTGGAGGCTAAAATTTCCAAAGAATATGAGAAAAAAGCTAAAGTTCAAAGAAAATTAGTTTCTCTATCTTAAAAAGAGCAATGACAAAATATCTTCTAATGTGCTCTAAATTCACAAATATACATAAGTGTAGGTCATTTAGTAGAATTACATAGTTTTCTAAAAAGCACTGAAAGGTAGCTGAACACCTAACAGATTGTTATTAACAATCTAGATTAACAATTGAAATGATGGAACACTTCTCTTTTCTCTATAGGAGATTAGGGATGAGGTGTATAGAGTGTTCTGCAGGATGCATAACATGCTTGCTGGTGTAGATTGGTTTGGCTTAACCTTTTATTTGTAATCCGAAAGGGGCTCAAAAATGGGGTGGGGCGGGGGGAGGGACTGACAGGTAAAGCCAAGGCATTAAAAACAAAAGGCATCAACAAAAATTTTTGAAGCAAAATTTTAAGACAAAGCACAATATTTTGATTTAACAGTAATAAGAATAAAAATAACTAAAATTTATATAGGACTTCAAGATTTGTAATTGGGGTAGCTAGGTGGCACAGAGTGCTGGGCCTGGAGTTAGGAAGACTCATTTTCCGGAATTCAAATCTGGCCTCAGACATGTCCTAACTGTGTGACCCTGGGCAAATCATTTAACCTTGTTTGCCTCAGTTTCCTCATATGAAAAATGACATGGGAGAAGGAAATGGCAAATCACTCCAGTACCTTTGCCAAGAAAACCTCAAAATGGAGTT